GACAAGACAGGGTTGAAAGTTGTGTGACTAAAAGAAAAAGACATGCATCAATAAAATTACCCTAAATCTGCCCTAGCCTGTTTGGCTCAGTGGGTTGGTGGGTTGGTGGACTGAAAAGTCCCAGGTTCCATTTGGTCCAGGGCTCATGCCCATGTTGCAGGCTCAATCCCCAGTAGGTGTGCAGGAGGCAGCTGATCAATGATTCTCTCATCATTGTTTCTATCTCTTTCTTCCTCTCCTTTCCTCTTTGAAATCAATAAAAATATATTTTTAAATATTACCCTAAATCTGTTGAAGGAAGAATGTGTGAATGGCAACCCCCAAAAGTGAACACCATGATCTCCAAGATTATCACATTGCACAAAAGCAACACACAAATGTTTCTAACTAAATTCCTGTCTTTACTTAATTTGCTATGTTCTTGACCTAGAAGTGGCAGACCCATTATCCAGCTAACACCATAACTGCCAAAGTGTCTGTGCACCTCAGTTTCCTGAGGTTCGATGGAAGCCACCATTTTTCAGTGACATCTCTGGGTAACCACCAGGTTAGTGCCAGGCAATTTTCATCTTGAACTAATTTACACTGGTGACCTAGAGTCAAAAGGTCCTAGAATCTGAAAGGTGTCATTCTTGGAAGTTGCCCACCCTACTTTTGCCCCTAATTGAAGAAAAATAACAATAAATAACTGGATCTCAATTGGGCACACAACACAGATCATTAATACTTTTATTAACTAAATCACAAATGTTTTGAATAGATACTTAACTGTAATGACCATTTAAAAGTCAATGATTTACTTTCTCTTATAGACGAGAGTCACTTTTCTTGTTTTCTTCTCTTGAACAGTGAGTGAGTCAAGGTCAGGGTCCTTAAACAGAAGTGCATTCCTTTCACATCTTACTACTCTGCAAGTCAGAGTCCATCACTTCACTTCATTTATCCTGAAAATTTAAGAAATGAACATTTAGTTATTATGTGTCTATTTTCTATGCATTAATAAGTTGATGTAGCTTAAAAGTTTGGAATTGTTTCAGATATATAATATCTAAAAGTAAAGTATTCAATCTTAAGTTCGCAAAGGTCACAGATATAATGCAGGGAGATCATTAGCCATTTTCCTGGCAGGAAGGGAAAGGGCAATGCCAAATGAGAGTAAGGATCAACCTGGTCTGATCACTTTCATTTGCTGGGTTAGCTGAGGACAAACCAAGGGACGCTGATTTTGTAAAGCAAAAGCTACTGCTCACAGAATGTAGAATACTATTCCATCACGTTCACTTTAGATCACTTTAGACCTTCATGTAATGTAAGTGAAACAAACATGTGATTAGGTATAAATCAAATAGGAAACGTTCCCTAGGAGGGTACTTTGAACCTCACTCATGGATGAGGCAGACACACTGTGAGCATCATGCTGTTAGCTGTCAGCTCAACGATCCCACCAGACAGACATTTAAATTTAACTGACAAATGCTGAACAGCTAAATGTTAGCAAAATTAAGGACATTTCAAAGGTCATTATAGATTTTACTATAGGCCCTGTGCATGAAATTTGTGCATGGGTGTGGGAGGGGTCCCTCAGCCCAGCCTGCACCCTTTGCAATCGGGGACCCCTCAGGGGATGTCTGATTGCTAGTTTAGGCCTGAGACCGCAGGATCAGGCCTAAACTTGCAGTTTCTGCCTTGTCTCATGCAGTGAATGCCTCCAAAGTTAAGCAGCGTTAAAAAGAACACAAAGGATGGATAAGTTCTAGTTGAACCCTAAATAAAGAAGAAATTACTGCATATTAAAAAGTACAATGTTAGTGTATAGAAAGTTCACTA